GTTTATTGAAATACTTATGACATAACATGATCAAGAAAGTGGAAATGTGATGCACTTGTGAAGTTCAAAACTAACAAACTAGTAGCTGATGATATCCCCTCGGGCATTGTTCACTTTCCAGTCAAATGAAGGGCACCAGCTCCACCACCATATCCATAACCTTTTGGGCCAAAAAGTTTGCCGTAGCAACCCTTGCAGTACACCTGCCCTAAAGAAACAAACAAAGAAAAACAATTTGTAAATATTATGTGCTTTTCAGTAATAAGACTTGCATACTAGAGCTCTGGCTGGTATTCTCCTACCCACTGTAATGCAAGTTGTAATAATGGTCCTCTAGAGAGGACTTTGTTAGTGACTGCAGAAAATCACTCTGAGAGAAAAAAATTTTGGAAATAAAAAAATTGCTGGCACCTTTTTGTTGTTTAATATTATGTCAAAATAGCTACTGTCCAGACAAGCAAATTCCCTATGACTTGCAGCTTTCAAAAGAAACCCAAAATATGATTCAGACGCTCACATTTAGAGGTCATGAAAAATTCAACAATTCACTCTGTTTCAAAATTCTTGATATAGTGTGTCATAGCCAGCTCTATTAAGCCTTAATTTGATATAGGGGTGTTTAGGTATCTACAGTTTAAACCGGACACACTACATCCCCTGGACGTGAGACACCTCTAACGGTGCTCTTAAGGCATATGGTAACCTTAAATCACCAGGCAGTTCTGCAGGATGCAAATCATGGACAATTTTTGAAAGAGGAAGTAGTTTTAATCTTTATCACAAACATTGTAAAGCACCATTGAGCTTTAGGGATGAGTGCTATATAAATTCATCTATCATTATTATTTATTATTAGAATACCACAAAGGTGCCAGAAACCGATTTTACATTTGTCCCCCTCATGATAAATCAATTACAAAAGGGAATTATACTGGAGGTAGACAGGTCACATTTAGACCTAGGAAAATATTTATCGAGCAATTAAGGCCCATAAGTTTTAAGTTTTGTTACTAAAAAAATCTATGATTAATAAGTCTACAATTACCCTCATGATCGTTAAAGGTACCACTATCTAAGGACTTGTTGCAAGACGGCTTGTTATTGCAAGTAAAGCAACGTTTGTGGTACTTCTGTGACCCAGCAAGAACCTGCTCTGCCATGTACACCCTGTCCTTGCAACGAGGACACCTTTCTTTATCTATTCAGTAGAAAGAGGAAAATTATGACATAAATTAGAATCCTATTATTAAACTAGCAACAGTTCTCACTAAAGCTGCCCCTGCTTTTTTTTTTTTGGCTGATTGAACACATTTAAACATTATGCTGGCATGAACTAATTTCTTTTTCTGGAAACTATCTCACTCATACTGACCATAATGCTCCTCAAGCAATTTATCATGAATATTAGATCCAAACAATCAACTAAGGAGACTAAACCAACACAACACATGCTTTTTAATGACATTCTTTACATAATGTCTCACCAACAAAAATAACTTCCTTGAAAATTTTAATCAGTAGAACCAGGGTAGTACTTAGCAAAAAAAGCTTAAAAAAATATGTTTTGAGAGAAACAAAAATTATGTCAAACCACTCTGCTGTTCAAATTTGATGCACAAATACACCATTTGTCTTGTTATATGAACAAATGTTGCTGCAAGCAGAACATGCAGAAGTTGAGAGAATCTAAAATTTGCTGTTACAATTTTTTTCCAAGACATAAACAGAAGTATCGCTTACCATTTGTAGGTAACTTAATTACACTTATCAATTTGTAAGTAATTGTACTGTATTGTAGTATTAGTATTGTTCTTAGTAGCATTAGTATTGTTTTGTTAGTATTATCGTATTGTAAGTAGTTTTGTATTTCTTAAAGTCGTTTTTAGTACCTTATTGTAAAGTAATTTGTTGTGCATGAAATAAATAAATTTATTTAAAAAAAAAAGAAGTATCGCTTTAAGAGGTGTGGTGGCCTCATGGTCAATGCTCTGGTCTCTGGATCAAGTGGTCAGTGGGTGGGTCTCAGCCCTGGCCAGGGGTGTTTTGTGTTGTGTTTTTGGGTAAGACACTTTACTCTCTCTGTGCCTCTATCCACCCAGGTGTATAAATGAGTACTGGAAAATTAAATGGTGGGGGTAACCCTCCATCCCATCCAGGGGGAGTAGATATATTCCTAGTCGCTCCATGCTACAGAAACCCGGATAAACCCAGACCAGCCTGATGGGCTACTTGGCTCCATGATATAATACCATAAACTGCTGCTTGTAAGCCCTAGGCTTATACAACTTTGCAAGGGTTTCTGATTGGCTTATAAATGGAGGTTTATATCCAAGGGGGCTTGTATCCAGAATAAAAAAAAAAAAAACATTTTGAAACAAGCTATTGAGCCTGCACTTGTTGATTGAAAATAGGTTTTTTATTTACTGGCAATAATTAAGACAATGGTGTTAATTTCAGTTCGGAAGGGGGTGCACGTATAACAAAGACACTTCATGGCTCATCATGATCAGGCCTAAGGAAACATTACGTTCTGTTTCACCTCAAGCTGGTTTGAATCCATGCATCATGAAGCAGTGACAAAATGACCTCACAAGTTGCATTATGTGCCCTTGTCTTGCAATTTGCCCTCGCTACAACACATTTTTGTACCTCAGTCCACTTTGTGTGCACTTATGTACTGCTGTCGCATGTCCCAACATGCATCCTACATGTACATATGAAAGGGCTTGTCCCTGCAACTAGTCCCTGGTGTGTGCCGACCTTCACCAAAACCAAAGGAATCACTCGAGCCAATCACAAAGGACACACACAATACAGTGAACAAAACAAAACTCAAAGTAATTACATGAAGGCAATATGAAGCACAGGAAAACATACGCGAATGAGTCACAATTGGTTCTGGCTTTACTTCTGATTGCAGGAAGAAGTGGCATGAGTTTTTTTTAGCCACTTGTGTAGTGTAGTGATGCAAAACCAAATTCCTTTTCAACACACAAATGAAAATGCTTTAGTAAAATAAATTTAAAAGAAAGAAAGTCACAAAATTATTACATAATCAATAGAAAATGATAAGTATTTGTACAGAAGGGCACCTAGACAGTGCTCTGAATAACATAACATTTTGAAAAGAATTTAGAAAATTATGACACCCCCGACAAAGTTCAAAAGTAATGTATTCATTTTGACACCATTATGTCATAATATTTCAGAAACAATGAATGCCTTCTCGGGACTTCAGAATAACACAATCCAGCCGTAACTACAACGCACCCAAATGTTATGTTAGCAACCTCAGTTATGCGTGAAATCCGGTTCTAGCTTAAGCCAGACCTTCTTTCGACAAAAATCGTTTTCGATTTGAGCGAATGAAGTAATTTGCAACAAAATGTTGCTCGCCACACATCACTAGCTTTTAATTTATTATATCAAAATCACTTTCAGAATTTACAGGTTTTAGCCATGCCACCTAGTTCAAATTATAGGAATTTGCCCTTTTCTTCAGGTTATCAAGAACACAGAAAAGCTGTCAGCATTACACATTTTCCTTTCTCAGATGCTCGCCACATCGCGCGTAGAACGTATCGTGTTTTGATGACCTCGCGAATCTATTAACAATCGCTCAGTTAAATAATACGCCCTCTCGCGTTACATTTAATACCTACACCTCTTGATAATCAACTCCATCATTTGAAATCGTAAATCACAAGCGCTTATTTTCGAAACTACTAGGACGTTCAGTAATGGAGTAGGCTTTAGTTGGGGTGTTGTTTTCCTCGCGCGTTCGAACATTACATTGCCTTCACTAGTGCTCGGTAAAACAGCTGAGAAGAAAAATAAACAATAAAACTCACCCGCCATTCTTCTAGAATCCAATCTTATATAGTTCACTGAAAGCGTAGAGTATGCGGTCGTTTCGCGAGTAACGCGCACTTGATGAAGCGAGTTGTTCTAAATTCCACGCATAATTAGCAGTCCAAAGATACGTGGGAGTCCATGTACGTAATCAGTTTTTATTTTTTTCCCGGACGGGGTAGCGGGGCTACATCAATATAGTATTCATTTACTTTTTAATCGCGGATATAAGGCGTTTTAAAAATTTTCCATATACCTGGTTTGTTTATAAAAACGTAGCAAATTTTTTGTCGTAATTTCCCGAAAGAAAAAAGAAATCTGTAGTGTTTCACCACTGAGAAACGTAACATCACTTTGTCACGTCACGCATTTCGTGCCGCGCGTGACTCGATCCTTGCAAAAGAAACGGCCATTTCAACTACCACTGAATTCAATTTATTACAGATTTCTTAACTAGACATTCAACAACTGGCAGGAAAAGACTGACAAAAGTTCTTTTGAGATTGTGACAATGGCTAAATATATCATCTTGAAACAATAAATCCACAGACATCCCAGTTGTTCCTACTGTGTGCGGGTTAGTGCTCCAGCTCCCCCGCCAAATCCGTATCCCTTTGGGCCAAACAATGCACCATAGCATGCCTTGCAGTAGATCTCACCTGCGAAACACGGAATGGATTTAACCGTTAAGATGGTTGTCATACAATAAAGGAGGCTGTCGGTCCGTCCGTCTGTCTGTCTGTCTGTCTGTCCATTTAACAAATAAAGAAGCCCCGACTGTGCTCTGTTCTGTTGTAAAGCACGCAGGAAGCGGTAGAGCACGAAAGAAGTGTAGGGGAAAACACGAGACGT